ATATATATATATATATATATATATATATATATATATATATATATATATATATATAATGTATTATTCATATCTATTTCCGAATTCTATGAAAACATTCATCAGCTCTTGTGAAGAGATTGTACATTGCATTTGTACAAACCTTGAAATTTTGTTATTTTATAAATCATGTACTTTTTTTTATGCCATACGTATTATTATAACTTTAGTTCTCTCTCCACAAACTATAGCACACAAGTTTACTTTCTCTCTTATGTTCGCCTTTTTAAAAATCGATCAATAACATAATAAAAATAAAATATTATTCCAAAATTACAAAACAAAACACTAAAACTATAATAATGAATCTTTTAAATGTTGTAAGATTTTATAACATTTATACTTTTTAAGAGTTATTAGACTTAAAAACTGCGCACGAGAAAACTCTTAGAATACCATATTTAAGGATATAAAAAATACATTCTATTGAAGAGTGTCTCTTTTTTTAAAGTAAGTTTTCAGCTGAAGTGAGAAACAGCTATGTTATTAAAAAATGCATTTGTATTTTTTTTCTGAGTCTCAAATTCTCAAAATTTGCTGGACTGCTCGTAAAATCCACTTTCGCGTCTGACGGAAGGACACAAGCGAATGTAGTGGTGCACCACGTGCGCCGTCGTAATATTTTCGTCAGAATGTTGCTTGCGTAATTGCGCCGAGTAAATCCCTCATGCGCTCTATTCTCGTGTAGATCATCAGACGATGGCATTGTTAATCCGTGGAAGAGCGCTTGAATAGCGAACATCAACGTCAAATGAGATCTCGAAAAAGAAGATCGGTTGACGTGTGTCGCCCACATGCCTGCTTCAGGTACAAAAGTATAAGCCACGCAAGCGTTCGACGAAGCTTTCCACTCGGATTTTCCCTGTCAATTCTATTGGCGAAGTTTCTTCTCACGATTCAATGCTATAGGATCTCTATTCTTTTAAAGTGAATCAGTAAAGATGTTTTTGAATCAATAAAAAGAACATTCCACCGATAATATCAGTAAATATTCACCGATTTTCAGTGAAGACACTCTTATTTTATAAATCGATTTTATATTTCACTGATTTTGACCAGTGGAAGTGAGATTTCATTGCACACAAATTCGTTATGCGATTATTGTGGTGATGGAATTAACGACTTGTATGCGAAACATTTGCGTACAATCATTACGTACACTATCGGTGTTTACAAACTACTTCAATAAGGAACAGCTGTTACTATTAATTGATTCTTTTAGAGAGCTTTTAAAAAACTGTAAAAAGAAGTAGAGTTTGTAAAAAGAAAAAGAATTTGATAATAATTATGAAGTTGGATAGTTCCATTTGATGAAATAGTTTAAAAACTGAATGTATAAATGAATATGATCAAATAACTTGACAAATATTAACAAATAACCTCAGTAAGGCTTAGTATCTGTTGCTAAGATTGATTATTAATGTGGTGATTATTATCAATTTATGTGATACGTATCATCAAATAATTTATTACATAAAATTATATTGTTTAAAAAATAGATTAAACTGATAACAGTGTTTAACATTTATATCATATGATAAATTATGAAATATTTTGAGGTAATAGTTAAACTATTTAATAATTATTAACAAATTATCTAGTATTTTTTACTTACCAAAACGTTTAATTGGTTCAATTAAATGAAGAATTGGTTTTACTAATTATTTTGTAATTATTACCAGAGATAGTTGATAACTATTACCATATGTAATGTCAATTACCAAATGTTGCACTGAAATACTCATTACATCGCAAATTCATGTGTGTCAATTTTAAATGCATTAACGTATAATTTGACTGAAATTTTTTTACATATTTTCTACGGTTTTAAATCACGAGATTTAATACGGTTAAGATACATAAATTATAATTTAATAAACATGTTTAATAAACGTGTTTTTAAACGTGTTAAATAAACGTGACTTAAAACGGCAAGAAACGTGTAAAAAGAAATTCAATTAAAATAACTCTTAGATTTGCAATGCAAATATATTTGTTAATTATTACAAAACTTTTTCTTGTACTAATTGTAGTGATATATATGTATAATTATCCTGAGAAAAAAATATTTGACAATTTATTTATACGGGATAAAAGTTTATTTCACAGAAATAAGCTTTATTTCATAGAAATAAACTTTATCGGGTCGTTCCTCTCTGATGAAGCAAACTGAAATGTTCGCGAAACGTCGAAATTAAACAAAAATGAATCCACGCGGCTCAAACCCGGAAACCAAATCTAATATGTATGGACACCGCGAAAGCCTAAAAAATCAAATAAATTTTATATCTCACAATTTCAAGTATCTTATATCTCACAAATAAATTTTCAAGTTCTTCTCAGTGCAAACCACCAGTTATAAGTATAGCATTTCAATGAGAAATGACAATTTATTTATAAGGGATAAAAGTTTATTTCACAGAAATAAGCTTTATTTCATATAAATAAACTTTATATCTCACAAATAAATTTTCAAGTATTTTCTTCTCAGTATAAACCACCAGTTATAAATGCAGCGTTTCAATGAAGAATATACTGATTGTACTTTAGAGAGTAACGCGTAATGTTTCGCGATAACGCGACGTAGCGTCGCCAGCTGTCGGACGCGCACACGTACGCACGCCCACGTTCCCCGTCGGCGGCGTAATGGCACGGAGAAGTCCGTTGACCTTCGTCGAGGACGTGCCCATGTCCCCAGGCCGGGTCACACTCGAGTCTTGCGTTCGCAGGGGAACATGTTCGGGAGCGATCAGACTGGCACGTGGCAGCTCGATAAGCGCTCTCCGGGTGGGAGAAAGCGGGTCGCACGCGCTCCTACTCTGTCCACTTACGTATCCGCAGTGACGGATGGAGAGATATCCGGGGTCTCTCCGATGGTACGGTCTAATAATCGAACAGAGACAATCAGAATCATTATTTTAACGAGGGAAATCAAGAGGAGAAATTACGCCGACGGAAGCTGGTTCGACGTGAATTTAACTCAATCTCAAACTTTAAATTGAAATAGCGGAATTATGAATCGAGAGTAATCTGATCAAAGTAGAACTCTTTAATCATATTCGCCAATTGCTTAAGGTAGTTTGGTCAAAAATAGTGAAGTCCCAGATCTTGAAACTTGTAGCAAAATTAATTTAGGTATTAATATGTATGTGTGTTAAATATGGGTTTGATTAACCGTATAGTTTCCGAGAAATTACCGCTTATAATTTACTCTTTTTCTCAATATTTTACATGGCGCTGACGTATAAAAAGTAACACGTAAATGCGCATTTGTCAGCTGCAAATGACCTACGATAAGAATTAATACGAAAATTTGGGAAAAATTAATTGAATACTTACAGAAATACATACATCAGCGAAATTTACCGTACATTATTAGAGTATGATTAATTAGCAAAAATAAGTGTGGCTTTTGCTTTTTCGTTCGCGACCATACTTTGCGGATATGGCAACGTTGTATAGCTTGGCGTCGCAAAGCGCTAATAGAGATGTGACATTGCCACGATCTATAATTTCGCGACTACAACGCAATTCAGCATACTGTTTCTTTTTCTATCATTTATTTCATTTATTTTATCGATTTTTACTATTCTGAGAGAACCAATAATGTTTAAAAATCTGTTTTTCATTTTCACTTAAAAGAATTCATCGGTTGTTGAATCTTTTATTTAAAATCTAATTTTGACTACCACAGTTGGGAAACAATTACCTTAAGACACCCTTGACTTCTGTTTCCTACACTGAGAGAGAAAATATCCGAAAAATAAACAATATTTATTCGGAGAGTATTAATGATATATACTTGAATCTAAATTTTTTTATTTAAATAGAATTGCTTCCATGAGTAAAGCTAAAGCTTTTAAGAAAATAATTTCTTATTTGAAAGATATTTTATGTCAGTATACAAATAAATGTTTACCTATTAAATATTTTTTTATTTCTTAGATATTTTTTGTCTTACATAGTACGCGAAGCGTGTTGAATCTATAAGATATAAGTTTTCTTTTTTCGATTAATTACACTCACGAATTATAAGTTAATGCAATCTTTTATTTATTCTTCCTCATCAATAGAGGGGATCGTGTCCCTTTGACTTAGCCAAAGCTTAATGCTTTTTTCCTTTCTCCAGTGATCGTGTTTTTCGACTCTCTCTCTCTCTCTCTCTTCTCTTAATTCGTCTCCTTTCCTTTAACGTTTTGCAACTTTTATTATGCTTTCTCTTTCTCTCTCTCTCTCTTTTTCTTGTTTTATTACTGTTCGCTGTACTGTAATTTGTAATATGTTATTATTAGAGAGAGATGGGATACTTGTAATGTCGAAACTTAAAACTCCTCGAAACTCTGAAAAGTTTCAAAGTTCAAGGATACGAAACTTTGCGCTATTTTTGTGATTCGAAATTCTCGGAAACTGAGACATATCAGTTTGTTTTTTTATATTCAAAAACTACAACATTATAGGCGCGAAAAGCGGCAACAATTAAATCTCTATGTCTTTTTTTGAGTGGATAATTATTTTCATCTAGTTTCATATGATTATGTTTAATATTCTATCTAACTATGTTTAATTAATATTATTAATATTATATTATAATTAATATTATTAATATTATTAATATTATGTTTAATTAATATTATCTAATTGTGTGTGTGTATACTTAATAAATATTTAAAATTTGATTTTCTGAAAAATTTTGTTGAATTTCTAGTTTCTGTATTAAAGATATAAAATTTGATTTTTTGAAAAAATTTTGTTAAGTTTTTAATTCTTAATCAAAAATACTCCTTTTGATAATTGCACATTAAAATGTTGATAAAATTGTTTTCCATCAATAATCAAACAGGTAAATAATCATATTTACCTGTTTTAAGTGTTGAAGGACTGATTTTTTTAGTGAAAAATGAAATTAAGCAGACGCTGTTTTATACACAATTACCGTCTATTTTTTAAAATTATTATTTCAAGTTTGGACAGTTTGATATTTCGAGAATTTCGAGAGTTTCGAGGTCTCATAAAGTGTCAGATTCGATTCGAGTTTCGAGGAATCTAACGCGCGGTCCGCCACTGCACATGCTCTCACCTCTGCCCTCGCAGCGATTCACCCTCGCTCTTTCCCCGGCTTTCCTCCTGTTATCCTGTTTCCAAGTATTTGTCAAAGGCGGTACAACGCCGCGGGAGACTCCACCCAGATCGGTGCACCGCTTCCCGACAGCCGTTTCCTCCTTAGATAACGAGTTATATCGAAGTCCACTGCGGGCCGGTCGCGTCTTTTGATACCGCAATTCCGTGCCTTCCGGACACTCCTACGTTACGCCCTTTCGAGATCGCGAATTATAGCATGTCGCCAAGCTGACGGACGAAGCTGCCAAGACGCGTTAGTCTAAAGTTAAATGGATTCTGAAATCAAATTACTACATTCAGTGCCGCTCGCGATGATCATCCACATTCATCTAAACTGTGAAAGCTTTTTTCCTCCTTTATTCAAATTTTCGTGCGTTAACAAGAGCGTTAGCAAAGGACATTATTGTTTTCTTTTTGCCTTTGGGCTCATCTCTTCGTTCCTGAAATGTTCTGCGGATCTCTTGAGAGGTGGCCGCGGCTCTCGTCAGATTTCGAATGCGAGTCATGATAAATTGTACTTCCCGCTCTCTCTGGAAGGGAATACTGATATTCCTCGGTTCGAAATCAAATTTCTCCCGTCGGCAGTGGCCTGAGCTGAAAGGAATACCCTGGCCTCACATGTTAGCCTGTTACCACGCAACTCTCAAGTTGTGCGGGTCAGCTGCTGCGAATGCCTGGGCCGATCAATCCGCGAAGCTCCATCGACGATATACTGGCCTGATCGTCGACGAAATGTATTGTCACTTGATTGTCAATCCGCTTTTTACCGAGGCCGTTATTAAAACACCGCGTTACTCTTATTATAGCCGTTGTGTCGTGTTAGAAAGGAACGGATCTAGACGTGCCCTGAGAAATAACCATCGATACGCGCTGTGCGTCTGGCAGTTCCTCGGGCTGGTCTTTGTCCTTCCGAATTTACAACATCGGAGAACGTCGCGGTGTCGTTATATCCGTGCAAAAATGACCGCGATTTGTTTAGAAATATTTCTGATATTATCTTCTCGCGCGCGCGCACGCACACATTCACATGCGCGCGCGCGCGTCACACGATCGCGTGGACGACTCGAGAGTGCTCTGAAAAATATTAAACGCGCCGATGCTCGTCATTTAATTTAATGTATATCGATAAACGTTGCGAGGATAAAGTAAGACATTAGTTGTCTAAATAGCTTTGCTTATTCTTGTTCTTTTTCTTTTCTTAATGCGTTAGGCCGCGATGGTCGACAACGAGGGCGAGCTTCGACGGTATTTTATATAATTTCCGATTTTTCTTTCTTTTTTTTAAAGAGGTGGCAAGCACGAAATTATTTGGATCGATGTCACGCGACTTTAGCGAGTTTCTGTTCTCCTGTTTCGATATATAAAATTTTTCAGGGAAAAGCTTGTAATTTTGGTAGATTTAACGAAATGCCTCAGACGGGCGTTATTAAGAAATAATCGATCATTGTAAAATTCTGCAATTATAAAGTTGCTATGATTCTAATATGCGTTTTTATATCAAACACTATATTATATATATATATATATATATATATATATATATATATATATATATATATACTCACACACAACCAAACATCGGTTGCAAAACTTTTAACGTTAAAGCATATAAAATTGACTAATGAATTATATTTCGAGATATATATTTCGAGGTATGTATTTTAACCACACGTAGTGTGTGTATAAGTACATATATGTGTATGTGTGTTGTATAGGCGCGCTACTTTATATTTATTAAATATAATTATTTAAATCTCTCTCCCTTTTCCATATATATATATATATATATATATATATATATATATATATATATATATCGACCTTGCTCTCTCGCTCTCTCTATATACGCGAATGAACAATCGATCTGTATTATTCTATGCAATATATATGGGACAATGTTACTTCACTCTTTGGACTTTTACGCAGAGCATTTGTCAAGCACTCCAAAAGCAATCTGCATTCCACGCGTCGTCCAACGTTTTTACCTCGGAAGACAATGTTTCAAGAGAGGGTTTCAAGGATGTACCGCTTGTTCGAGATGTGCATCAGTTATTTGCAGTAATCGCGAATGTCGCGTGGCGAGTCGTGTAAGCTTGCAATGCGACTCGATGCGGCATGTAACGAAAAACTGGTCGAGACTTGCGAAAGTAGCGTAAGAATATGTTTCCGGGGATTCGTGGCGTTTTAGCAACGCGTTATCCAAATGGTCACACTTGACTGAAGTTGCTCAGCCGACGTCACTAGGAGATCAGATTCATTGAGAAGTTGTTGCGTTACGAAAGTGGGGTCAGATCGGTATTAATAAAAATTTACCTTTCCCAGGAGACGCGAGAATCGTGCGATTGTTCCGCCGTGATTCGCCACGCATGCACACGCAATACATAATAGCGCGTAACTACATGCAATTTTGCGTCTCGCTTCATATTTCGCCGGCTAACTCTATCTCAAAAATACTCTATAACTGATTTGTATCTTTATACGTATTTGCTAATATAATTCATAGCCAAAAAAATCTAATCGCACTTTTTATGATAACTCTTTATCATAAAAGCGATGAATTGTTTTATACAGGATTCGTTGTACGTATAGTCGGTTTAGATAGAATGAAGTTGGGAGGCTCTCAAAAATTAAAGCATTATTGGCAGGCTTACGCAGTAATAATATAAGTAATAATAATAAATAATAATTAGTGATATATAATATTTAATAATATAATTACTGCGTAATTCCGTCTTCGTAATAGCTCTCAATTTGATAGTTTGATGAGATCTCAACTTCATTGTGATAGTTTAATAAAATCTCAACTTCATTATGTCTAAATCGTTTTATAATTAAGCGTATTTCCGCGTGTTTATAATGATACAATTTATAATAATGAAATGCTCGTAGTCTACCATAACTATATACTGCATCCGTTTTGACTATACCAATATATCTCTGTAATTAACAGAGTATGAATAATTTTATAATCTGTCTCACCAAATTCAGTACTTCAGTTCAACTAATAACACTTTTTTATAATTATTATTCTTTCATAATTACTTTTAATAAAGTTACCAGTAAAAATATAATAAATTGCGAATATTTATTATCAAAAATATATCACAAATAATTTCAACTAAATGACAAAAACATGCAGTACAACAACAAAAAATGTATAACAATATATATATATATATATATATATATATATATATATATATATATTAATATAATATAATAATATAATATTAATATATTATATTATATTAATATATATAATAATTCAATTTAATTAATATTAATATAATATTAATATACCCTCACGTATGATAAAAAATAATAATATTTTAT